AAAACAACTGCGTGATGTGGACAAAAAGGTTAAATACTCAGCATTGCTCATTTTCAGTCTTCACCTAGCTAGCTGTTCGCTTGCTGCACCAAGCTAATATGCGAAGTACACTAAATAATAACCTGCCTTTAGTAATAACTAGTAAAAACTTAAAATTTAATGGCTGTCCGTGTAATATATACATAATAATAACTATATATATTATACATTTAACCTGAAATTTCAAATTTTGTGCTGCTACGAGTTTCCATTGGGGACCAGTTGTTACTACATTTCTGTACAGATAGGAGCCATTGTTTACATCGGTTTTTAAAAGTAATTACTGGAGGTGGAAGGTTATTTGTGACAACCTTACGCTCCGTGCTGACATGTAGGCGAGAAGTTACGCCTTTTTTTTAAACTAAGTGACGTGACGAACAAGTCGTGTGGCTGGTAGTAAACGACACGCCTATCAATAGCTTTGAATCACAAGATGGTACTGTCACTGTCATTGCGCCCGTCACCTTGAGACATAAGTTGACACGTCGTATGTGCCTGTAATTTCACCAGCACCCCTACCGTTCAAAACCTAAACGCAGCAATGTGCACGTTACTGCTTGGCGGCAGAAACAGGTAAGGTGGCAGTACTTCTTTGGGCGAATTCTTTCACAAGGAGCTTTAGTGCTACTAATATAGGACAGTAATATAGACAACCTTCCTTTGAAGTTCAGGAATATATTTTTGATGTGCGTAACTAGAAATTACTATAGTATTGTATTTAAAAGTAAAGTTTTGTAAATGTAAGTAAAAATAAACTACATTTTTATTGAATTGATATTCAATTATTTTTTGTGAAATTACTCCACTAGTTTGTTATAATTATTAATACAAAGATCGAACACTCAGAAAAAACACTCAGAAAAAATTCCTTCGATCCGGTCGGATTCGAACCGACGTCTTCTTGCATACCGTGCCAGACGCTATACCAACTAAGCCACGGAACGAACCAACGGACCTCACGAATTTTTTCTATGCGCTTGCGTCGTGTCTTTGTACTTGGTCTTTCAACGACTTTTTAGTCGTAGCGCCATCTATATGAAATCTATTGCAGATTTATCACCCAGTTAGTACCTTTACAGCTACCAATCCTGGCGAGAGATGTCGCTATTCACTGTATTAATTAAATTTTTATTGAATTGATATTCAATTATTTTTTGTGAAATTACTCCACTAGTTTGTTATAATTATTAATACAAAGATCACTCATAGCTCCGCACAAGGGAAACACTGAATCGCGGGTGCAATGGACACACACATAGACCACCACAAATTACGTCCAAACTCACGCGAGATGTAAATGTAGCCCATACAAATATTTCTCCAGTCCGAGAACCAGTTCGGCTGCGGAGGCAGTTAAGTTATCATCCACTCCATGTGTATTACTTGAAATTTAGATAAATACATACACTAGGTCTATTCCGGTATGTGGTTCTGAATGTGTATAGACGATGTATAGGAGACTAGTTTTGACATTGTGTAAGTGGTAATCAGAGTTTTTGCTTTTGTTGAGAAGTTTGCTTTTTAAAATACGCACGCTTTTCAATTTAAGCGTAAGCTTTGGTCAATTCAATATTCAATAATTTGGTTTTATACAACGTGCTTCAGTTTCAAGTCCCGCCATCTATGTTTCCTAAACAAATTAATTCGTCAATGTGAATAATAATTTTGTAAATAAAAATACAACTCGCGTTTTACAAATAAACTTACTTATCTTAAATCCTGGCCTACTCTAGCTTTTCGTTGCAAGTTTTTTTTTTAACTTTTTTTTATACTTAAAAGTTTTTGTAAACGATTTTGCAGCTTCGAACTGCAAAGCGTTTAAATAATAAGCAGATATCCCATCCCTAGTGGTAACCACATCAAACTATTGTTTTGGTTTTTTTATCAATTCTCTTTTAACATACTGGAGATACGTTTATTATTTCCTTGAAGTTTAG